GGAGGCAGCACAATCGCGTGTCTGTGGTTGTGTGTGAGCACATGTGGGTGCACACGTSTGTGTGATGTGTGTCTGTGTCCATGTGTGTGAGTGTGATACCTGTGTGCGTGTCTGTGTGTGCAGGAGTGCATCCGTGTGCTCTGTGTGTTCGCTGTGTGTGTCTGTGCATGTACACACATGTACAGGGGGGTGTGTGTGTGTCTGAACACGCCTGTGCTGCCGTGCTGACACACGAGGCACACATGTGTGTGCCTGTGCATGTGTGTAGGGACACTGCTCTGCCTGTGCGTGTGTCAGTGTGCGCGTGTGCACACGTGTGACGGCGTGGGGCGTGCTGCTGACGTGTTTGTGTGGGAGAGGGGATGGGTGGATGGATGGATGGATGGATGGATGGATGGATGGATGGATGGATGGATGGATGGATGGATGGATGGATGGATGGACCGACGGACGGACAGACAAGTGAAAGGATGGGATGATGTGTGTCTGTATTGATACATGGATGGACAGATGGACGGACAGACAGACAAGTGGAGGAATGGAATTATGTGTGTCTGTATTGATACATTGATGGATGGATGGACGGACAGACGGATGCACAAGTGGAGGGATGGAATGATGTATGTATGTGTGGATGGATGGATGGATGGATGGATGGATGGATGGATGGATGGATGGATGGATGGATGGACGGACAGACAAGGGGAAGGATGGATGGATGGACGGACGGACGGATGAATGGACGGATGGATGGATGGACAGACAGACAAGTGGAGGGATGGAATGATGTGTGTATGTATGTATGTATGTATGTATGTGTGGATGGATGGATGGATGGATGGATGGATGGATGGATGGATGGATGGATGGATGGATGGATGGACCGATGGATGGATGGATGGACCGATGGATGGACAGACAAGTGAAGGATGGAATGATATGTGTCTGTATTGATACATGGATGGATGGACGGACAGACGGATGCACAGGTGGAGGGATGGAATGATGTATGTATGTATTGATACATGGATGGACAGATGGACGGACAGACAGACAAGTGACGGATGGGATGATGTATGTATGTATG